AAGCACTTACTTACTTGTTGAGAAGACAGAGCATAAATAACTAGTAAATACATAAATGTACCAGGTAATAGAAATTATGATAAATGCCACAAGGTAATGTTAGAGGGTACTTGGGGAAGGCCACTTTAGTTAAGGTGTCAGTGAACCTTCCTGATGAGGTGATATCTAAAGAATTAAAATGATCCCGCAGGGCGTGCCATCCGCCCAGGATTGTTCATGGCAACTGGCCTGTGTCCTCAGGGAAATGCAGAATGGGGGAAGGCCACCGCCATGGCGCCATGGCCCTGGGACTGTCCGATGTCCCAGAGCAGTGGCCCTGAGGGCTACGGACTGGGGGTGGCATAGGAAGAAGAGCAAAGGAGCTCTGAGGTGGAAGGGACAGCAGGGAGGAGGTCAACAGTCAGCGTGCATGGAGGAGACAGGACAGGCAACGATGAGAAGAGCCCCGGGCAGGGCAGGGGCAGTGCAGCAGGTTTCAGCTGGTTTGGGCTGGAGGCGGGGACCCAGGGTGCAGCCCTCAGAAAGCCTCCGGGGAGGGAAGTCACTGCCTCAGGAAACAGCTGGGGGCCTGGAAGGCAGCTCCCACCCTGGGGCAGACTGGCACCCTCTGTCCCTCCCACCACCCTCCACCAGCTACTTCCTTTAATCTGTCCCCTCCACAGAGCTGGCTGACCCCACAGTGCACAGGCCTCCTGCCTGGGGCAGCTCTCCCAGGCTCCCCTCACTCAGACCACCTGCCCAGGCCACCATCTCTGCCCTGTGCCCAGGTGCCTGCCCCGTGGGCCCCGTACCCAGGTGGAAAGGTTCCCCTAGAAACAGGGGCCTAATCACAGTCCCCTTCCCCCCTCTGTGACCTGGTGGCTGCGCTCCAATAAGCCCAGGACCAGACTCTCCTCTGATGTTCCCCAAAGGGAGGCAAGGCAGACCCGCAGGGATGAGGGGTGCTGGTCCCGGATGAGCAGCCTTGACTCACGCGGGGGCATGGCACCGAGGCAGACACTCGGGTTGGCCTTGCATCCCCAGGAGCCGGGTAATCACAGGGCTCGTCCTGATGGCAGAGGAGATTCCAGGCCTGCGCAGGTGGCTGAGCAGCCTAGACTCGGGGCTGGGCCCCTAGGCTGGTCTGAGACTCTGCCTGGGACAAGACGGGGAGGGGAAGCTCCATTTCCTCCCTGCCCACACCTCATCCCTCCTGGCTCTCCTTTAACCCAGCAATCCTCCCCAGCGCAGGGGTGGGGAGGAGGAGGCTGTGCTGGACCCCAGGAGAAGGGCTGGGCTCGAGGGGCAGGCTGGGCAGGCTGGGCAGGGCGAGGGGCAGGATTTAGGGTTAGGACCTGTTCTCAGGGGAAGCAAAACAAGCAGAGCAACAACCAGCTTTGGGGTTCGGATGGCGTCTCAGGGATTAGCGATGCTTGGGCTGGAGTGGGGCCGGGCAGGGAGTCTCAGGAGGAAAAGCCCAGAGCCGATCCTGCCTCAGCCCTCCCCTCCCCTAAGTTCAAATGCTCCTGGGAGATGCCCCCCGGTACCAAACCCTCACTTCAAACCCCACAAACCACCCTCCATGCCACCCAACTGCCCCAGGCCCCGCGCACCAGGCTCTCCATGAAGCGGGGCACGTTGTCCCTGAGCAGGGCCTTCAGCTCCTCCAGGGACAGGGTCTCCACATCCCCCTCCCGGGCCGCGTACTGGTGGAAGCTGTGGATGATTTGGAAGAGGGAGGCCCCGCC